CGGACGGCAGCCAATCGGAGCGCAGATCCTGGGGCGGCCAGCCTATCGCCGGGGGAACCGGGAAGGCGGCGGCTGCGAGGCGCTGCAGAGACACCCGAGCGCCCTCTGGCGGGGCAGGGGTCGGCGCGGGAGCGGGGGTGCAGGGTGGCCGAAGCCGGCGCCCCGAGCTTCCTCCCCGCTGACCCCCAAGGGCGTTAGTCGGCAGCAGCCGCGCCTAGCCACCCGGATAAACCGCCTTGTACGGGGACAAAAGGTGGAGTCAGCGGCGCGGGGCGGGGCTGAGGTGGGTCCGGAGCTGAAATGAACATGGGAGGGGCCGAGCGTGGAGTCATTGTCCGTTTGGAAAACATCTCCCACGCTGAACCGGCCGAACACGGCGCAGTCGGAACCGAAACGCGCCCGGGGATGAGTGTGTCCCGCAGAAGCTGCCTGGTCTATTCTTGTCGAACCCGAGCACAGCACCTCCCACACGCCACCTTGGGAGAAAAGGCGGAATGAGTAATAGAAAAGCATGACTAGTGGGCATTCAACTTGTCTCCTCGGGAGACCGTGTTTAAGGGCCGCGAGTAAAGGAACGCGATAAATGCTTTGCACCGCCCCGCTGTGCTGATTGATGAACCCCGCTCCCCTCTGGGAGATGCCCTTGAAGGAGGAATGATGGCTTTCAGAAACCTGCAGAACACAAAAGCGCTAGAAGTCTAAAATCAGACTTAGATTCAGCTCAAGAGAAAAATCCCACACCTGAGCATAAGCAGTTGAACCTCGTACTTAATAAAGTCTAATATTCAATGATAACGTGCCATTATCAGGCCCCATGCCAAGCACCATTATTTTATAAGGTCGTGAAAGGCTTTTTGATTTACTAGCAGAAACAGAAAGTAAAATCAGATTTTTCACCTGAATTCAATACGGTATTATTGAGTGTAAAAGGCCTTATTTTCAAACATATTCACTAAAACATCGAAATTAATGTTGTACACTAATGATTCTGGAAAGTCTCCACCGCTGCTGAAGTCCTCAGACTCTTCGTCCACTTCACATTTCTTGAACACATCTCATTGTATTTAGATTTCTTTTTTATTTTATTTTATTTTATTTATTTATTTTTTGAGTTGGAGTCTCACTCTGTCGCCCAGACTGGAGTGCAGTGGCCGATCCCAGCCACCGCAACCTCGACCTGCTGGGCTCCAGCGATCCTTCCACTTCAGCCTTCCAAGTAGCTGGAACTACAGGCGTGTGCTACCACGCCCGGCTAATTTTTTATTTATTGTAGAGATGAGGTCTCGCCAAGTTGCCCAGGCGGGTCTCGAAACCCCCGGGCTCAGGCATTCCACTCACCTCAGCCTCCC